GCTCCGCCTCCTCCGCGGGCCCCGGGTCTGCAGCTGCGGCGGCCGCCCGCTCGCCTCCTCCTCCTCTCACCCCTCCTTCCCTCCGCCTCGAGCGTGTGAGGAGGAGCCGCGGGTACGAGAAACGCCATAGCAGCGCTCCCAGCACTGACTAATCAACAAGGTGCGAGCAACGCCTGCGCAGCTCGGGGAGACTCCGCCCCCAGCCCTCGGCCACGCCCCGGCCACGCCCCCAGCCCCCTGCCCCTGCAGACTCCCGCCCCAGCTCCCGACCGGTCTCGGCCCGGCTCGGCGCGGCGTCGGCTCCTGGCGCCGGCGGTCGGCGCGCTCCGTAAGCTTTAGCTCTCGCTCCCCCGTCCGACCGCTCGGGCGCCCTGCAGCCTCGCCTGGCGCCCAGTTCCTTCCCAGCGAAGGGCCCTTCCCCTAACCCGGAATGCAGATGGAGCTGCAGATGGAGCTCGGGAACCTTTCCCCTTTAGATCGTGCTGTCTTCCGCTCCTGCCCTGACCAGGAGTGGCGGACGCGGGCACAAAGGAGACCTCCCTTGCTCCCCTTTTCCCGCCGGGTGCTCAGGCTGGAAGAAGACGCGAGAGTGTGCAGACAGCGCGGGCCGGCGAGGCGGCCGTTTTCCTCAAGCCTGCAACTCCGCAAACGGAGCTGCAAGTTGCTCCCACAGATCTCAGCTTTGGCGGCTAGGCCAGACGGAAAGGGCCAAAGCCCCAGGAGCAGGAAGGTGGTGGATGATCAGTATCCCCAGGGCGGGTGAACACCAGGTTTAAGTACTTCCTCTTAGAGAGATGGTGGGACAGGAGGCAGAGAGAAGGAGGAGCTCTCTAGGATTAGCTGTTTCCACGTGTCTTTTGCACCTACTTCTCAGTCTTTAAAGGGGGGCTGATTCCCATTTTCTAGGCATGCCACCAATACCTTAGGTCATTCGCAAGATCACACAACTTCTAGATGGCCATGCTAGGATATAAGCCCAGTTTGCTTTGTAGGGTACATTTATTTGCTACATTTTTTAGCATGGCGGGGTGATGGCAGAGCAGAATATAAAAGTGGGTGTGATTCTTGTTCGTCCAGGCACATCTTTTCCTGTTCGAATTTTTTTTTTTTAACATGATGTTAACCTAGCAAGGTAAAAAGATTTGCATTTCAATTCTGCTTTCAACATATGTTCAGTGTCCAATGCATGGTAAAGCAGGCCATTCCATGGGCCTTGAAAAGATGCCACAGCCTTTTAGAAGGGCTGGCTTAAAAGATCTGTGCCAAAGAACATACAAGTCTAGTAGCATTTGCATTTAAAGAAAAACTTCTGAGATTTTTCCTCACTCCATTTCCTAGAACTTTTGAGTATTGGCAATAGTTTTCACAGAATTCTGCTATAAGTTTGCAGCCTTGTGTATTCCTGTTATTTTCTTTTTAAGTCTTGGGGAAGAAAAAGCGAAACGCACTTTAGTGTATTTTTAACCCAGATTTGAAGGTTCATATATTTGCTCATATAAAGAAGAATGTTTCAAAACCGTAAAGGACCAAGTAGCAGCTCATTTTTTTCTAAATAATTGAACATTTCTGAAAATACAACTCAGACTCCCCAGAAGGATACATCTGGAATCAAGCAACATCAGGGGTCCTTCAACCAGTAAGTAAATCCTACATCCTTATAATGGTAAATTGATTTTTTTAAAAAACTCCCTGCTACTATTTTATACTCTTTAGAAACTTTGGAGAATATGAGAATTCCCACTCACAAAAGGATCAGTGGCTTCTGACCCAAAGACAAGATAAAAAGGAAAAAGACTAACGTAATCAACTTTTTAAAAGTCAATAAAACTCGAATATTAGATTTGCTTTATTGCTGACCTTGCAGAAAAAGTATTATTTCAATCTTGAGTATTCAAAGGAAGAAATTTAGTGCATGGCAAATTCTTATGGAATCTCACGTCTTAGAGGAACTCTTCATAAAGATCTTAATTATGAGATGGGGCTTTGGTTAAACTGTACAAAAATATACCTATTAACAGAGAGCTACCGGTAGTCTTTCAGTCTGAACTGTACTGAACATGTTTCTGAAGATGGTTGGACCAGTGCAAACCATGGATATAAACACATAACAACTGGGCATTTGGGTCTTAAATGTTCCCCAAGGGAATACTGTGGCTCTCTTGGGAGCTGATGGAACTGTGAAGTGACCTAGTGAGAGGTCTTGAGGTCACTGAGTGCTTGCCTGGAAGGGATAGTGGTCTCCCAGCCCGTCCTTATCCTTTCTATTGTGCCCTTGAGCGGTTTTGCTCCACCATGCACTCCAAACACGATACGCTGCCTCTGCACAGGCCCAAGTACAGACTTCCAAAACTGTGAGCCGAAATGCAATTCCTCTCTTTGTAAGTTGATTATTTCAGGTATTTGTTGTAGTAAAGGAAAGCTGACCGATGAAAATTTACAGTACTGAATTTTGCAGTTTATGAAAGAGGAACATCTAAGAGAAGTAAGGCAACATTTAATATCCTGGACCTTTGTTTCTTCTCAGTACCCTTATAAGTAGATTTGTGGGAGGCAGCATATTATGGTTATTAAAATATAGGCTCCAGGACCCAATTGCTTGGGTTGGCTAGTGACCATACTCCTATTTGTGATCTTGGGAAACTTGTTTCCTCCTCTGAAAAATGAGGGTAGTAATGACACTCATTTCACAGGATGTATATGAGAATTTAATGATTTAAAGCATGTTGAAGGTTTAGTGTCTGATACATAAGAAATGGTATGGAAGCATTTACTTGTACAGGTTAAGGATTCCTTATTTGAAATATCTAGGACCAGAAATGTTTTGGATTTCAGATTTGTTTGGATTTGGGAATATTTTTATACCCATAATAAAGTATTTTGGTAAATAGGATCCAGGTCTAAACACAAAATTCATTTATGTTTCATGTATGCCTTATACACATAGCCTAAAAGCAAGGGTTTTCTTCGGTGCTGGGGATTGAACCAGGGTTTCATACATCGTAGCCATACTCTCTTCCTCTGAGCTACATCCCCAGCTGCTGAGAGTAGTTTTACGCAATATTCTTAGTGTGCCTGCATTTTGACTGTGATCTATCACATGAGGTCAAGTATGGAATTTTCCACTTGTGCTATCCTTTCAGTGCTGAAAAATTTCGGGTTTTGGAGCATTTGCAATTTGGGGTTTTGTGACTGGGTTTCTTAACTGTATTATCAAAAGAACTATTGGTTTTGAAGGAGCCAAATCTAGAGGAAAGGTGAAGAGACACGATCACACGTAAAGAAATAATTAGTTTTTGGAAAAATAGTTATATCACTCATGAGTATAATGGAGTAGAGGAACATATCATCAAATAGGAAACCCAGGTATAGGACTTTACTTCCCAAATCTATTTTTTTTTTTTAATCTTTTTGACACAGGGTCTCACTATGCGGTTCAGGCTGGCCTTGAGCTCCCTTTGTAGCCAGGCTGGTCGCGAACTCAAACTCGAAATGATCCTCCTGCCTCAACCTCCCGAGTTCTGGGATTACAGGTGTGTGCCGCCATGCCCGGCCTCACTCCCCAAATCTAGACTCTGTGGGATTAACATTCTTCCCAGTGTTCATGTTGGCTATTCATATGCTACAAGACTAAAGTAACTGAGAAGCCCAAGGGTAAATCTAGCATATCGTACTGTAGAATTCATAGGATGAACAAAGATCCAGCCTCCTAGCTGTGGTTTACTGTTTATACATACATAGCCTGTCAACTGTTTTCATTATCTGCCTTGCCAGATATAAATGTTACATGTTGGTTTTTCTCATATCAGAGTGTCCAAGGTCACATAGTACCCTAGCAGTCAAGAATGATATCAAAGTTCACAACCCCAGTGGTTTTTGAGGACTCCTAAGTTGTTTTTCCTTTTAATTAATGTCCATGCTGTCACCCAAGTTAACATAAAAATCCCTTCCTGGCTAAAACCTTGTGTAGTATCTGTTTCCTCACTGTTGATGGAATAAAGTATAAAACCTTTTACAGACCGAAAAAGATTCTTCCCTTCTGTGGCTGGGTCTGCCACCCAAGCCTCATTTTTATTGCCTACCTCTGACACCCTGTGATCCAGTCTAGCTACCTCCTTCCAGTGTCCAGCATTTCATGTTGATTTGAGCCCTTGTAGGCCTTGCTCTCCCAGCTCACAGTGTCTTTCTCCTTTTCGCCTGCTGTGAAACACCTATTCCCACTCCAGCCTTTTGCATTCTATGAAATGTTGGGTCCCCTCCAAGGAGACCCTATTTTCTGTGGTACCTTTATACTTGGCAATACCCCCTTTAACTGTGCTAATTGCACTATGATTTGTTATCTGTTTTCTGTTAGCTTTTCCAATTTGCTGTGGCCTCTGAAAGGTACTGTATTCACCTCTGGTTTTCTAGCTCCTGTTACCATGCCTAGCACGGAAAAGGGCTCAATTTTTATTTTTATTTTTATTTTTTTATTTTAAAGATAAAAGGAGGGAAACATTAACAGACATACAACATTATACAACATATCACAAGCACAATACAGACAATACAGAGTTACAAACAA